CCCCCCGACCCCCTGCCCTGTGTCTCCACACACACACACACACACACACACACACACACACACACACACACACACAGAGTGCCCATCCCCCCTCACCTTCCTCCCTCACCCCGAACTACCCTAACACCCTGCCCCTCCCTTCTCATGCTGCCTCTTCGCCACCACACTCTCTCCTCAGCCACTTCCAACCACACATTGCCCCTCCCCAGCCACACATGCATACACTTTGCCCCCTGAAGCAGCAAGGAGACCGTAAGCCCTTTGGGTCCCTTAGGGTTCTGCTACCTCTGTTTTGTTTCAGCCTTTCCCTGCGGCTGTGCCGCCGGTGCTCCCGGTTCTGCTTCTTCCCCCTCTCCAATCCAGGGGACTGGTTCTCCCTCTCAGGATATGGGAACTCAAAGCCCAGAAACACGTCCTTCTGCTGCTTCAGGGCAGCAGGCTGTTGGATTGCTCCCTGGTTCTCCCCTGCTGGCATCCCACTTGCCAGCCTGAAGGCCTCCTCTCCGGACACGTGCCCTCGGGAAGACACGCCAGGGGCTCTGTCCTTCCTGGCTGTGCCATGTCTGTGATGGGGTCCTGCTGGATGCGGCCACAGCTCCTGGTTTTGAAGGTGGTTGGTATTCTCTGGGGTGTTTGCATCCAGGGAGTCCACTGGGCAGACATCAGAGAGAACCAGGACACAGAAGAAAAAGAAAGAGGACAAGGAGCAGGCGGAAGATGCCATAATTCTGGGTGCCTCACCACACCTGAGGAAAACATATAAGCAACATCAAGTTCTTCAAAGAATCCAGCTTTGTGGAGTCCACAAAACCCCTTTCTTCCTGCCCTCCTCCCATGGGTGAGACAGGTCCTTTAAAAACATCAGTCATTGGTCCCATAGCTGCAATCTAGCCTTGGGAAACTGTCTTTCTAACCCTTAATAGCACTGCTCTGGAGGTTCTTGTTAGCCATATAAAAGTTTCACCCTGGTATGCTCTCGGACTGCATGATATCATGTGGCAATGAGTTCCAGAGGCCAGCTGTGCATTATAGGAAAAAAAGTCTCTTCTTTCATCAGTTTGAAATCTTTTGCCGTTCAGTTTCACCAAATGTGGCTTTAATCTGAGACTCTCAACATGCTTTACAAAGACTGTCAAGTGTTATAATTCCCTCTGGGGAAACAGGGAGAAACACAGAGAAATTAAGTGCTTTGTCCAACATCACAAAGTGGCAGAGCTGGGAACAGAATTCAGGTGCCCTGACACCCACTCTTGCTCTCCACCTTGTAGGCCGCACTGCCAATTTAAGAAGGTAAGCAGCAAACAGAGCGTGCCCCAAAAGGCAGTATGATCACATGCTGAATTTACTCACCCTGTTCCATGTCTCCTCCTTGCAAAGAGAATGCAACCCTTGCAGATCCTGCATTTAGCAAAACCTTGCATCAAGAAAAACAGCCACAGAAAAGACATTGTTCCGTCAATGAGCCAGGTGCATGGGAAAACACTGACTCTGCCCTTGCCTCCCTGATACAGATTCTCCTGTTCGCAGAACGGTGACTTAACATGAATGAGAAGTGAGTCTGAGGCTAGGTCCACACTACAGCTTTTTCTGATTTTTTTTTTGGAAGAGGCTTTTCTGAAATTTGGCCCATCTACACTGGGCCAAATTTCGGAAAAACCTCCTCTTTCAGAAGAGCCCTTCTTCCTTGTGGAATGAAGAAGACAAGGCTTCTGAAAGAGTGCATTTGCACTTCCATTTTTTTTTTTTTTTAAAAGAGCAAATGTGTTCCCTGGACGTGGTGGAGTCGGGGGTATTCTGGAAAAACCCCACAGTGTAGACGTACCCTGAGAATGAGTAAAGGGGACATTGTGAGCTAGAATTCCTGAGCCATTTCTCCCCGCTCCTAAGAGGGTGACCAGAGAGCAAATGTGAAAAATCAAGACACATTTTTTCCCCAGAGAGGTGAGGGGTCGTATATTTGTGTATATAAAACTGGCCTAAATGAGCAGTTTCTTTGATTTCGGTCAAACTGATGGTCGGTCCATTTGCACACTAATACCAACCTCATATGACAGGCAGAGCCCTGATCTTTGGGGGAAGTGGGAGTCCAGAGGCAGGTTTGCAGCTCAGCCCCACCTCACATCAGGTGGGACACAAGGCTTAAATAACTCTAATGTGCAGGCGGGGCCACGGGCAATGAATATGGAAGGTCCTGATTGGACGGAGCAAAGTGGGAGGCCAGACAGGTTGACATTCTGGGCCTCCTCGCATCTGGCTTGCTTGATACGATGTATGGAGTGGGAGGAAGGCCAAGATTCAGGACTGATCCAGAACACAGTGTGAAGACGCCCAAGTCTGGCAATGAATGAGTCCTTCCTGAGTTAGCTCATCCTATTGCAGCCTTGGTTACAGCAGCACGTGTCAGACCTGAAGGGGACAAGAGGTTCCAGTTTCATATGCAAATGAAGGCAATTAATCAATGGTGATGCCTCCCTTTGATTTCTGACAAGCCCCCCTACCCTTCCTGTTCGCCTCCTGCCATCTGAGGGGCAGAGAGATGCAATCCTAGTTCCTTCAGGCTATGGCGAGGTGGCCCAGCACCAGCTGTTGCACTGGGGCTGCCTGCCGGGCTGGTTGGCATTCTGGGCCTCCTCACAGCTGGCTTGCTTGAGATGAAGATATCAGCCCAAGAAGCAGATGGTGGCCTCGCAGGGCAAGTGATGGGCCTGAGCCACTCAAGAGATGCTACCAGAGAAGCTAAAGCAAAGCAGGGCCCAAGGAAACCCTGGACGTGCCCCACTGAATAGCCAGGCCACAGATGAATTCTCGTCGTCTTCTGTGTTCAGGGCCGTCCTTCGGCTCTATGGGGCCCTACGCAGCACTATTAAACTGGTGCCCCTATGTGTGATGGGGGGATGGGATGACTTTTTTAGAGATGTGATTTTATAACATTCAAAAACAGTTTTGAAAGAAATAGTTTTAAAGCAAATTTTAAAATTCAGAAACAGTTTTGAATGAAATAGTTTTAAAGCAAATTTTAAACCAAGGTCCTGTCAACGAACACAATACAGTCAGAAACTGACAGTCTGTACCTGGGGTTGGCAAATGCCTGTCAAACGCCTTCATTACCACTTGAATTGCTCTGTCACGGGTTCAGGGTTCTGCTTTTTCAGTTGTACATTAACTAGAGCCTCTCCAGTGGGAGTGAAGCCACAGAACATGGATAGGAAGAAGAGGTGGCTGGACATTAAGACCCAGTGGTGCCCCACATTTTCAGGTGTCCTACACAGCTGCGTATTCTGTGTGGGGAAGGATGGCCCTGTCTATGTTGGCTGTACAAGGGTGGGAGGGCTTTCTTGTGTTCTGAAGAGGGGACTGGGACGTTGGGCTGTTATTCTGGGGTTCCAGTCCCTGCTGTGGCAGACACTCACTCTGTGGCTTTGAGTAAGTCACTTTAACCTCTCCTTGCCTCAGTTACTCCATCTGTGAAATGGGGCTGTTGTGTCATTGGAATCAGGAGGCTGGTTAGATCAGTAAAGCCCTTTGCGATCCTTCAATGGAATGGCGACGTCAAAGTCATTTTATTTATTTCTCTTTGTATGCAGATTTTTCAGGTGGCTTCTTTACTGCTCAATCTTTTGTTCTAAGATAGGTCTTCAGACCATCATACAATCAATCCTTGTCCCGATCAGGTACATCTCTTCTCATCCCTCCCCCCACCCCTGCAAAATCAATCTTTTTCCACTGAGAAGACTTCGTAAGTCTTTCAAGTGTATTAACAGAAGTACCATTAACCATCACCATGACATTGAGGATGCTGGTTTCCCTGAATCTGGGCTAGGGATCTTACATCAATTAATTGGTTACATCATAGCACTTAACTGGTTAACTGTTTTAACCTAAGTCCCACCATCCAGCATGCTGCAACTGTGGAGTCCTGCTGCCCGGCTCACTGGCCTCACCAGGACTAGCCTGGTGTGGCTGGCCACTGCCAGAGTTAATGGGCAAGGTCTGGTTAACCAGTAACACTAACCCTTAACCACCCTAGTCTGGGCAATATACATGTTTGAACAGAGCAATGGGAAGCTCAATCCCTGAGGACACAGAAGCTGGGGTTGTGCTCATATGTGACCACACAGAAAAATACCATCTTTAGAATTGAATTGCAGCTTTTTCTCCTCTGCTGGGCTAGGTCACCAGAAAAGTTCCCAGGGCTTACTTGGAGCCTGGTAGGCTTCAGCTTCACATGAGGCTGAAACAAGAACTATATCGCCAAGGAGTAACTGTGTCTCTTTGGGGGTGCAGAACTTGGCACCCCACATCTTTCCTTCCCCTAATCCTCTTGACTCCTGATTCATTCCCCACTCCCCACTCCCAAATAGCAAATGTGAAAAACCAAGACACCTTTTTTCCCCCAGAGGCATAATGGGGGGTGTCGTTGAGTTTATAAGACAAAGCCCCTGCTATCGGGATGGTCCTGATAATATCAGGAAGTCTGATCATCAGGGCTCGCATGCACAGATCGCCCGAAACCAGCTCTTCCGGGTTACAATCTACTCGCCACGGGCGAGTAGATTCTATTATTTGTCAAGCCCTGTTGATCATCCTAACTCCCAGTGAGCACATCCTAAACTACATTCCTGCAATGACTAAACCTCACACCCTGCACTGCAGCCATGAAGCTTTCACGTTCCAGGCAGCCTCTACCGATTGTCCAGCTAGAGTCAACAGGAAAGGAAAAGCAAAGGGTTAAGGTTAGGGTTAGGAACAGCAGAGGAGAGGAACAGCTAGCATCTCCTTAGATGCCAGCCCCACTGCTGCCTCATGAAGCCAGTCACAGGAGGCATGAGATTTTCTTCCACCCCAATTAAGAGATTTTCCCTCAGGGTACATCTACACTTGCTCCCTAGTTCGAACTAGGGATGCAAAGGTAGCCGACCGAAATTGCTAATGAAGGGGGGATTTAAATATCCTGCGCTTCATTAGCATAATCTCGCCCATGCGCTATTCTGGTCGCCAGCTGATTCGAACCAGGAAGATGCGTTAGTTTGAACCAAAGGGTTTGATTCAAACTAACCGGAGCGCACTTCCTGGTTCAAATCAGCTGGCGAGTGGAATAGCACGTTGGTAAGATTATGCTAATGAAGCGCAGGATATTTAAATCCCCCCTTCATTAGCAATTTCGGTCGGCTACCTTTGCATCCCTAGTTCGAACTAGGGAGCAAGTGTAGATGTATCAAATTATGATGCAGATTTGGTGTAAATCCAGAGTGTCTCCCCTGAAGCCTCCTCTGCACTCACAGCTGCATTACAGAGAGCAGAATCTGGCCCTGAGATGGGATAAAGAAGCCCTCTCCCTCGGACCATCTCAGCTTTCTGAGGGTTAGATGCCAGAAAAACATGACTTCGGTGGGGGGGGGGGGGGGGGGGGGGGGGGGGGGGGGGGGGAGGGGAGGGGAGAGGAGAGGAGAGGAGAGGAGTGGAGAGGAGGTTGGCCACTGAAAATGTTGCAGTATTAATTTTCCTTTTATTTGACTTCATATCAAACAAATATTTACAGTTTAA